TGATGTAGCACAGCGGTTAACTACCTAGACTGGTAATTGAAAGGTTAGATTTATATTTATAGAATTTATCAATTTATATTTTACCAGTACTTATTTATTTATTGGAGCTCCTATTTAATTCAATATTCAATTATCATAAGACATTGTACGAAATTTGTTCATACATAAAACCTTGCAAGTTTTTAATATTTGAAAAAATTGTTTTATATACTGTCAACAGTTTAATAAATGTAGATTTCAGTGTCTACCATATTATGTATGAAGTATGAACACCAATAAAAATGAAATCATCCTGTATAGGTTCAAGTGACAAGGTATGATCGATGAGCTATCACCACTGCACCCCTGGGCAAGACACTTGAACCGGGTTGCTCCAGAGGGACTGTCCCTTTAATAAATTTACTCTAAATGACTTTGGATGAAAGTGTTGCTAAATGACTCCTAATTACAACAGCTCTTGTGGAGTCTTTGCAACTTTGAAGATGAAGTTTTTAATCACTGTGCCATTATACCAACACAATACAAAACAGAAACAAATAGGTTCCCAAATAGCTGAGATCTTCTGCCCAAACCCACTCCATTAGGATAGGAAAATGTGTTTCAACATAAAAAAAATACACACCATAAAAGCTATTAGGTTACCTCATCCTATACCCATGCTGTGGATCAGAGTTTGGCCCTGCTGGTAAATGCTGAATGGATGGCCAAAAGTAGCAGAGCATTGAAAGTGTGAGAGTCTATAAAGCAAAGATGGCAACATCCAGGTCGCGTACTTCTGGGCTGCACGCACCAGTAGCGCAATTGCCATTGAGATGAATGGGAATGCTAACAATGAAATCTCTCTCTAGGTATATTAGACCTCCTTCCTCTGTATAGAGTTCTCCAGAATCCTGCAGCTGCTCCATTAGCGATCACTAAGATTTCCGTTGAACAGAAGGCAGTTTCATCCAAAGTTTCAGAGATATTCTGCCAGCATCAGCAACTAAGAAACAGTTAAAGTTTTGAACAAAACTTGGAACCTTTGAAAATATATACATATATTTTTATTCCCAACTAGACGGTGACAGGCGAAAAACTTCATTTGAACCTTGAAGAGCCAGGCTACAATGCCAGATTATTATCACTGTAACTATGCCCCTGAGCAAGCCACTTCTACCCCTGTCTGCTATTGGATGCTTTTAACTGTCCTTGTGCTCTGAACCATTTCACTGTCTTTCTGTAGGACTAAAGAATAAATATTTAAGAAACTATATATTTATTTTGTACCAATCTGGTGAAGCGGGGTCAACATCAGCTAAAACATACAAGTAAATTTGCAAGAGAGACATTGTAAAAGGGCTCTTTCAGTTTTGAAGTATTTACTCTTTCTGATGACTTTTTCCTGAGATGTGCCTCACCATAGAGACGATGACTAAAGGGAACAGGATAAGAGCACTTGTGCAGCTGCCCACATTGCACTGCAATCACAACAGAATGTGCTTCTATTGCGCTCCTTCAATTAAAGTGCCTAGCGTATTGTTAATAACAGAACAACACAATAAATAGAAATACAGGTCAAAAAGAGTAGTCGGTAACATGTTAAAAAGAGTTTTACTAGAGAGCTATAGTTTTATTTCCATAAAACTTATATGAAATTCACTACAAATTTTTTTTTAAGATTTATGTTTTTGCCTTTATGACAGGATAGATCAGAACTCACAGGAAGCAAAGCAGGAGAAAGATGGGGGTGGGATCAGGAAAGGTCCTCGAGTTGGGATTCGAACTCGGGACGCCCTGTAGCGCAGCGGTGCTATATGTTGGCGCGCTGCCCAACAAAGCAGTCGGCGGCAACAAAATTCAATAAGAATTTGTTGTACTCACTGACAGTGTCACTTACTAACTAAATTAATTATGCTAATCAAACAATGTGTAAACTTACGCCAATTTTTTTCACAGATGCTCCTAAATACTAGATTGTAAAGGATGCAATATACTACTACAATCTGTTGGAATTTACTGGAACTGTTCAGCATCACACAAACTTAGAAATGCAGAAAGTGCACTACAGTAGTGTACATCACATGTCTGACTATATGGCCAATTATAATGTTTTGTTCCTATAGAAAATGTACACAAATATCTCTTCATAATATTTCGACTGGTTTCTATGGATGATAATTCTGCAAAGATTTCTCCAAACTATTCACTAAACGTCCCCAACAAGGACAGTAATTCCAGTAAATTTGGACCTTGTGGGACTTTTTTTTTTTTTTGGTCCCTATGATGAAAAAGGGTTATAAATCACACAGAATGATCTGTTTTAGAAATCTAAAATAGAAAGTTTTGTGTGAGGGAAAGGTTTGGGGGTATGGTTAGGGTAAGGGGAAAGAAAACAGTTTGTACATTATAAAAAGCCTTACATCTATGGAATATCCCCATAAAACATGGAAACTCAATGTGTGTATATTTGTGCACGCTTTTTGTGAGGTGTTTTAAGAAAGAAAGTTAGTCCAAAAGAAAGTTTTGACAGAAAGTTCGAAAGAAAGAAAGTTTGGGGGGGAAATTGAAAGAATAAGTGATTGAAAGAAAGAGGGTTTGAAAAAAAATGTTGAAAGAGAGTTCGAAAGAAAGAAAGTTTGAAAGAAAGAAAGTTCGAGAGAAAGAAAGAAATGTTTAAATCCTTTTCACAATCCAAAAATTTGCACGCTTTTTGTGAGGTGTTTTAAGAAAGAAAGTTAGTCCAAAAGAAAGTTTTGACAGAAAGTTCGAAAGACAGAAAGTTTGGGGGGGAAATTGAAAGAATAAGTGATTGAAAGAAAGAGGGTTTGAAAAAAAATGTTGAAAGAGAGTTCGAAAGAAAGAAAGTTTGAAAGAAAGAAAGTTCGAGAGAAAGAAAGAAATGTTTAAATCCTTTTCACAATCCAAAAATTAAAACCTCCTATAATACAATATAAGAATGTTGCAGGTTTTACAATTACAACAAAAGAACACAAACAAACAACTGATCAATATCTTGTGCACATTTTCATTCTCATTAGCATGTGATTACAAGCACTTGCTGTTACGCTGAACACGATATTACATGGATTTTAATGAGACACTTTTTTTATGCTGCCAGTCAAACTGTTCGAGTCCACAGAGGAGAGGGAGTAAGAGAGAAGCAGAATCATACTTGAAACTGAAAGGCCTGTTAGTGAAACCTGAATACAAATGAAACGATTATTAAAAAGGTCAGGGACTTTTTTTGAGGGACTTTTTTTTTTTTTAAACGTTGTTTTTTTTTCAGACTAGGAAGGGCAGAACACTGTGAACACTGTGCCTTGATTAGTGAGGTTACACAGGCAGCACATGACAATTACCTCCCAAAAGTTTAGGGGGCTAATATCTACTGTGACATTTTGCAGAGGGGGGTTTTAATGAAGTGTGCATCTCCTGCTCACAATCACACATTTGGGCAGGCTTGCTGAAGTATATTTGTGGAAGTGACAGTTGTAATTACTTAGAGAAAAAAGTTTGGAGAAAAACTCCAAGGGACTCTGGGAGGTCAGTGGAAGTGCTGTGCACAATGGAAACCTGATTGGGTTTCATTACCATAGGGATGGATGAGATCTCGGGCAGAGGTTTCCAAAAGGTTTCACAACTGGACTATAATTGCCTGAAATAGCATTCAAATATTATAACCTGAGGTGACTGTTTTCTCTCATGTAAAAAATGTTTCTTTATACAGTGGTGATTTAATGCTTAGGGCCTCTCACTTATTCAGACCAGTGAGAGACTGTTAACTGACCCTGTTTCACCTCTTAAAAAAGGAATATAAAATTTTATTTGCTTAAAAAATCACTAAGCCTATTTTAACTTTTTCCCCCGCCACTGGTGGAATTTTTCATCTTTCTGTGTTTTCATCGTCATATGGTAGGGGGCGCTATTACAAATCTTCTAAAAGTGAACAGAATCTCCAGATCAGAACTCAGGAGAAGAAGCAGAAACAACTGATTGCATAAGCAGATGGATATGTAAAATAGTGCAATCATTGAACATTTAACAGCATATAAACATTATGGAATGAAATGTCAACCCAGGAAGTGTATTTTAATCATGGTTCTGAATATAATCTGTAGTCTTTCACAAAAACAATTTTCTCAGTTTTTTTGTTAAAAATACTGCTTTTCGTTGATGTTGTTAAACTTGCCTACGTCCAAGTGTTAATGAAAAAAAAGAATGCATAAAGCTAGAATACATTTTGTTTTGCTGTTGTTGTTTAAAAGGAGAGACTCGTTTCTTTCTTTTGACATTGCATGCTCAGATATTCATACAACAAATATGCTGGGGGCCATGCACATTTATTGGGGTCATTTATTTATGACAGAATTATTTATTATGACAATTACAACTCCCCTCCACACTTCTAATTATGATTAAGCAAAGAGAAAAAAAAATCGAATTACCTTGTTTTATATTAATTCAATTATCAAGAACTTTATACATAGTGGTATTATTTGGTGTGCTAACTTGAAATCTTGCTGATTTAAATATGATATACAAATATAGATATTTGTATAATAGTAATTACCTTTTTAGAATAATCAGAAATACAATTGAAAAACATCTGAGCAAATTATAATCATCAGAAATTGGGGATAAAATCCTCTCAATTGTTTTATGCATAACATAATTGCTTTTTACCGTATTGTGTTTGTATAACCTGGGTGTTCTAGCTTTGTTGTGTCACTCTCTTGAGTGTAAACACAGTTTCAATTTCACTTCCTGTCAACAAATTATTGATGTATGAGTAATGGTCAAAGCAATAGGATATTATAATAAATGAAAAATCATTTTAATTAATAACAATGGCAGAGAATGCTACAAAATTTCATTAAATATAACAAAAATCACTTCAAAAGATGCTTTACATATGAAATACCAAATGTGACAGTAAAATACCAAATAAATAATGGTTGAAGATTTACATCAGTACACGAAAAGATCTTCACCCCATTTTCTTTTTACCAGACACACCGTTGTAATCTGAAGTGTTCTGTGAATGAGGGCAGGCAGAGGCAGGCGTGCCTGACAGGTGTCACAGCCTCAATCTGTCTTCAGCGTCATACAGCACCACCCCTTCACTCTCACTGCAAAAAACCAACCACTGCCTCAGATGTGAACAACAGACAGTGCACTAGAGAAAAAAGAATCTGGCTTCAAATTAATCTTATGTTATCATATTTTGCTTATTCAATTAATTTGAATCATGCTATTCATTTAACAAAATAACAAGTGGTTTTATATGTTTAAATCACAGTGTCAATAAAGGTCCTGTGCATGTTGTGATTGGGGGAGTGGCCACAGCTTTGCACATGAACATTTAATTATGTGGGCCTAAACAAGCTGTGGTTCTTGTTGTTAATTAATAGCAGTTACATTTGGATTTACAGTTCTTTTTACAACTTTTACATTTGGTTACATTACTGCGTTTACAATTTTCCTTTCTTAAATGCCTACATGACATTTTCTTTGCATTTTAATATCAATATGGTAGGCTACAGTATTATCTAGGGGTGTACCAATTCACTCGTTTTATCGATGCATCGATTACAAACCCTGACGATGCATATGCATCGATCTTGAAACATGATTTTTGAATCGTGAATCGTTGATTTTGGACAGTAATCGGTCTAAACTGCTAAGAATCGAATGAATCACGATTTCTATAGCGATTCAATGCTTTCAAAATATATACACATTAAATTACTACAAGCACAAATTAATGGAGACCTTGAGCAGTGTTCGTGCCCTCGCTTCTGTCCTTCACGCGTGTGCTCCACTATTTACCATCCTGTGACTGTCACAGGATTGCGATCGCGCTCAGTTCGTCTCACTGACAAATTTTTTGAGCAGCTGATGTGTGATCTCTCCTTAGTACTCATGGCCAGTAATGCTAAAGTGAAGTAGTTTTGCTTTTCTGTAGTTTTTCAACAGCTCTCGGTCAGACCGACGTCATTACCTGAGCACACTCTTAAAAATAAAGGTGCTTCACGATGCCATAGAAGAACCTTTTTGTCTAAATGGTTCCATAAAGAACCTTTAACATCTGAATAACCTTTCTGTTTCACAAAAGGTTCTTTGTGGCGAAAGAAGGTTCTTCAGATTACAAAAACGCAAGAAAGAGATGGTTCTTTAAAGAACCTTTGACTGAATGGTTCTTTGTGGAACCAAAAATCGTTCTTCTATGGCATTGCTTGAAGAACCTTTTGAAGCACCTTTATTTTTAAGAGTGCAGTCGAAGGCTGCGCATGGACACAGCAAAAATGTAAGTGTCTAAAGCATACGCACAGTTCCATTGAATGATAAATGTGTTTTAACAATGTTGTTGAACCGAATGTACGAAGGAAACTGTTAAAATAACCACAGCATTAACAACAACCTTGAAATAAGAGCGCGAGGTTTATTTGATAATCAGATGCATGAAAGTAGAGTTCATTGCTATTGCAAACAGACTTCGGACGCGTTTTCTTTCAGAATCATCATTCGCCGATGGAGAGGAAAAGTTAAATACTATAGCATTTTATTTTATGAAAATGAGATAAAGAAGTTTTCGCACTGAAAGAGAAGTGATCTCACGCTCATAGGATTAAGACGTGCCAGGCCATATCTGCAGCTAAACTGAATAAAAAGCAGAATGAACTGGTGAAACGTTGACAATAAACACAATAAATAAATACAATTTATGAATGATGCAGTGCTAATTGACATTATTTATAACAGTACAGAAACTATAAAGTATATTTTCTACCTAATTCTGTGCAGAAAATTGAAATAATTGTTTGTAGTTTCTATGCTACATTTTTTTTCAGTGTAGAAACTAGTATCTTCAGATGGAAACCCTCACAAATAAAATACCTGCAAAATAAAACCACTGATTTATTTCCTAAAGGTCACAAAATGAGCGAGGGCTAATATATAGCATGCTGCACGCTTGGTGCACCACGGAACAAAGGGAGCTCATTGAAGGAATAATAAAATACTCTCCTGTTTCCCCTTAAATGGCATGCCAGGGTGACAGATTACTCTTAAGCAGTGCACACACACACACACGTTCGCACGCAGCTCATGCATGATACTTTCCTGCATGCTGCTCAGTGCTCACACCTTCACTGCACTGCAACAGGGGACAGCGACAATGATCTATAGACCAAATTAACTCTCTTTACAATCTCTCTCTCCCTGCTTTCTGCCACTTATGTGCATGGAGCAAACTCTGACCTCTGCTGTGACACTCAAGGACAGATGTCCCTCCCTTCCTCTCTTATATTCCTTCTCCAGCTTCCTCCTTCCTCAAGAAAGATGGATAACATTGCCTTGCGTCTATACACTTGTCCTGCTGTACTTGTTCAGAGAGATAGAAGGATGGATAGACAAGATTTTAGTCCTGTTTCGCCACTTTCAACTGTCAACAAGCATTACTCATTCCGACACCTTCATTTAGGCTCATCGGACGCAATGAGCAGCTCATGGAGGGCAAGATCCAAAACCCAAAAGCGGAATGAAATGAAACAAACACACTGTTCGGGCAGTTTTAATAAATGCAGCCTTGTTGAGTATAAGAAACATCTTTCAAAAGCATTACAAAAAATCCCCAAGCTTTTGAATGCAAGTATATACTGCTAATATTTCATTATACTGTATTACATAATGTTTTACCAGTGCCGTTTCTTTTTATTAGGGATCTTTAAAGCGTGGAATTGAACTATTGAACTCAAATATTTTGGGGCCACTTTATACTACAAAGGAAAAGGAGAGAAGGAGAAAGAAAATGTTGCAGAACAAATCTGAACCTGAATTTTCTATTTGAGCACTACAGCTCAACATGTCTAAAGCATATTGATCGCTACACCACAGCTCCCTCCAGCATGTCATTGATTCTAAAAGCATGTGCATTCTAAGTCAGCATTTCTGTGAGAGCAGTTTCCTGTCAGGTTTTAGAGTACATCATAAAATAAAAACCACAATATCACTGACAAATCACATACTGCAGGTGCTGTTTGGTGATGCTATCAATGTGTGAGCCATCAGAAATGGGCCTATAAACAGGAATGTCACTGTCCATCCTTTAGAGTCCACTGGACAGGGCTATTTCTCCTTACTTTTATCATGCAACGGTTTGTCCCTTATTATGGATACGGATGTTGATAGTACATCATCAAGTCAAGTGACATTTCAATGACCCGTTCTGTAGTAGACATCATCAATAAAGTGCTCTATCCTCCTCTGTGGAAAATGCTGCCTGAAATAGATTCAGAAATGATGTTTGGACCAGTTCATGTCTCAAATTCAATGCCTTAGGTTTTTACCATGATGGCAGTGTGTGTACATGATTTGTGTGGATGTGCACAGCATCAACCGTTGTACTTTATGTCATAATAAATCTGTGGAGAGTGAGTGATGGACATTCATTCCTGTATCAACCTCAATTAAGAAAGCAATATAGGTGCAACACCTGCGTCCACAACACTATAAACTTCAAATGCTTCAGTCTGAAAGACAACAAAACAACATGAACCTGACTTTGTTCACTGTCTTCAGCAATACTGCAAAACTTATTTTCTGTAATCAGTGGGGGTTTTTTTCTATTTTTCCAGGTATAATATATAAATATCCTTAAAACAAGATACATTTAGTCCCAAAATTTACTTCCAGATTATAAAATTTGTTTTCAGAGAATACCTTAAATTCCTCAAAACAACATATCTCTACTTCAAAAGGTCAAATAAATGTAATAATAATAATAATAATAATAATAAAATAATTAATTTCATGTCTTACACCACTGGCATTTCGGGTCTCGTTTTAAGCAAAACCTAAATAAATGTTGTAAAGACAATCATAGGAAAAATATATATTTGCCAATGGGAAAAAAATGAAGAATTAAAAAAAGAAATAATTTTAAAAGAGATAGAGATATTCAACATTTTCTAAAAGCTGGTCTTAAAGGCAAAGTTCGAAAATGAAATTAAAAGTGAAATTCTGTCATAAATTTTCTCACCCTCTTGTTTCTCCAAACCTGTACAACCTTTGCCTGTAGAACATAAAAAGTGACATTTTGAAGAATTGTGGTTATTGTAAGAAATTACAGTATGGTAAAGCACATGAGAAATGTACAGTATTTTGTTTTAATAATGCTCACAATAGATAATAGTACTGAAAATATGTAGCACAAAAATACAGATCATTCATTTTTTTCATTCAATTTGACCTTGCCCCCAAAAATGCATGCACAAACAGCATATGTGAGAGATAATAAGTGATGTTTATAGCGGTTGTTTTTCAAGCTGAAACAAGCACTGTTATTTTTCGACATTGAAACTCCTGCCATGGTAATAACTGTCATCACTTATGGTGTCCAGAAAGAAAAATGAGGCATGAAAAATACACCCACATTGTATGACAGACAGTTTCCTTACAATTTCCCTCCATAAAATCACCCTGTCATATGGCTTGTTCCTCTTGTGAGGGCAGTGACAGAACATTTCTGCTAAAGATGGAGGGGTTAAAGGAGCTGACGGCAGGGAGGAACATCAGTGAGGCCGTTGCAGATGGAAAGAGAGAGAGAGGAGGAGAGAGACGAACAGTTTGATTGACCGCTTAAAGTATCTGCTTGTCAAGACCTTCTGTATGTGTCATGAAGAAACTCCTTATTCCCTACCTAAAATTGCTTAGTGCCAGACAGATGTGCCACGCACATGGACAATAAGTATATAATTTATTATGAAGCAGAAAATAATGTCTATACAATATTGTTCTTTCGGTTCCAAAGACAATAAACTTTGCAACGATACTGCTTTTAGAGCATTCAAGATTCTTCAAAAGCTTCCAAGAAGCCAAAAACTCACCCTCATAACTTCTAAAAGATTTACAAATTGGAGAAAAAAAAACCTGCACACAAAAGAAGTAGTGAAGAAAAATATATTTTCGTCCATACAGACTGAACAGCACTGAACCTCAGTGGACACTTAAACACTTTCACAGGTTTGGAATGATACAATTAAACAACAATGATACAATTATACTGTTTTCATTTTTGGGAAGGGTGAAATTTTAGGCTGATGTTTTCTCCCATTATACTTGTAAAATAGTTACTATTCACTAAAACAATCTAAATACCCTAAACCTTCACAGTCTATGCTGAAAGAACCCTTCAAAGGTTATAAATAATACAGAAATACTGTTTGTGCCGTTGAAAATAACCCTGAAAATTCCTTTAGCAAAGAATATTGATGTCTCCCACACTCTGCATGCACTCGATGCCTTTACAAAACTATGAATAAGAAATAAAATGAGATGCCTGCCAACATATTATGGTTAGGTCTCCAATAGATATTACGCCAATTGACATTTTATGTCCAATACTTTACAATAATATTAGTCCATTTGTTTCTGTCTGTATTCAAAGTGTGTATTGGCACTGGTGAAGTGCAGGCTTGTTTGTTGTAATGTTATTTATTGTCACCTCAATTACTAAGCTGAAGGCAGTGTAAAACATTATGTTACTACAACAGAGGATGAGTTTTCATATAAAACATACAATTCTCTCAGGGCTCTTAGGCTATAGCTTATTTGAACAAATATGTATTTTATAAAGTGCTATATAAATGTATAGAAGCGGAGTTAGCACCACTTTTTATTCAGGGTTCTCAAACATGTACTGTTTGCAACGATGCGGTCTTTTAATGTTATGGCTAGATGCTCAGCAACAGACACCAACCGCGTGCTTTAGACAGTCACATAAACACACCGCGTTGCTTAATCTGTTCAGCGTTTGAGGGGAAATGTCAAATGGTGACGGAAGGTATGTTAATTGGAGTGAGGAAGCGACTTTTATTTTTACCTTTATAGTCCAAAAAGTCAGGAAAAACTTGATAGTACAGCTTATCGAGGATGCGCAAAGAGCCTTCATGTTACATTCATCCAATCGCACTGCAAATATGCAAATAAAAACATCAACCCAGGTTTAAATGTGTGGCATATATAATATTGATGATTAACCCTGGGTTTAGAATGCCCCAGGGTTAACTATTTCAAGAGTGAAAAGTCTATGAACACTAGGAGATTCAAAAATGCCACATGCTTCCCCACATTCTTGCTTTACTGCCGCCACCATGAAGTAAACCTTCATTGTATAAAAGGACACAGATTTAATTACCATTTTTATGTTGGTATATGAAAAAGATATTAACGTGAAGCTAATCATTTAACTCACTTAACCTTGGTTTGATTGCTTCAATTCCACCATACTTACTCTGCCTCCGCAGGTCTTTTTACGATGCATTATTTAAAGCCGAAACACAGTACATCTGCATCATGAATATAGTATACTAGCACCATCTGTTTAGCACTGGATCATCTACATAACGACTTAGAGGAGACGTCTTCACTTTCATTGAGTTATCAAAGTATTTGTCCCTTGAGATTTACCCTTACAACTTCAAACGCACAAGATTTGTCTTCCACAGAAGTAAAATGCTGCTCTTCAAATGCAATTTATTTAAAAAATCTAGTCTGTAGATCGTCAAACTTTCTTTGACTTATTAGTTGCATGAAACAATTCTGGTTCTGCTGGTAAATTGAGGCAAATCTCATTTAGAGTTTAATACAAACTGGAGTGATCAAAGGGGGAAAAAGACATAAAATAATTTATGTATTGCCCTCCAAGCAGCTGAATGTTTCTAATTACGCTGACAAAAATATCAATCATATAAAACATTCAAATGTATTCCATAAGCCCCCTCACTTTAAAAATTCTTTGGAATTCACAATTTGGTGGCAGGTGATGACCTGCTTAGCCGTTCACACCTCTCCGTCTGGGCTTCGGTAGGTGGCTAGACAAGGCTGTTGTAGCTAAATAATTTACTACAGAGGTAATAGCGTGGTCACAGGCTGTCCCTGCAGAGCCGGTGTGCAATGTCTGCCAAATACAAAAACCAAGGTCAAAACCTTCAGCAGAAAAGAACAGTAGAGCCAAGTTGTGTGTCTTTTCTTATTAGAATCAAGGGTAAATCTCAGCCTAAAAGTCCATGTTAAAATAATAAACCTAATGTCACTGAGAGCAATCAAATGCAAATTAAGTCCAAATGAAATATTTAGTCATTTTAATAAGTCATGCTTGGTTTCTAAATGAACATCTGACTTTACATTCCCCATTGTTGCATATTCTCTGTGGTTTCATATCACTTTTTGCCAATAGCCAAACTAAAAGAGACCTCTTTAAAGAGGCATTACAGAATATTTACTATGTCCTTCAGTGGTTAATTGACTCCAGTGAGTAGTGCCATCCTGGGGCCGTCACGTTATGTAATATTGAGGAGCCGCACACAGGAGGGTTATAGCCCTGCAGGCTTAGTGCTGGTGATGAGACAAAGTGCCACTGAACTTCCACTGAACCTGGGGTGAATCTGAGGTCAGGCGCAGCGTCACTTTGCCCAGACTTACCAACCAGACACACTCGTTTGGCAAAACTACCAGCACAACACAGATGGAGCTGCCTCTGTGTGACTTCCTGTGACAAACAAAGCTTTGTGTTGACATTTTCTGATTAATTATTGATAAATTGAACTATATTTTAATCATTTGTGGTGCCTTAAAAACGGAATGTAGTTGCATGATCCAATCCACTGAACACAGCTGATCTCAGGGGAGTCAATTAAATAAGTAGATCATGATGAGGTTCATCCGAGAGATTGTTTGGTATTTGTTTATTGGGAATATGACTATGAATACATTACTGTGCAGCAATCTTTCACCCTGAACTCACTGTGAATGTGAACACCATCTCTGATGCCTTTAAATAATGCATTTGAGCATGTTGGAATACTTTACTTTTATGGCTCGATTCTTGAAGTGTATGGGGGAAAAAATCAAGAAAATGTTCAGCATCTCTAAGAAAAAGCAGTCTAATAACACTAACTGCCCAAATCTTTGTTTGTTTGCTATTAATCTTAACTTTTAAAATGGGAAAAAAAGCCCGCAGTGAACACTGCAGAAAGAAAAAACACTTGTATTTAATTGGTATCTGCGTTTTGTTTTTCCTCTACATACATTAAGCAAACATCTCACCAAATTTGGTGTTAATATCTTACCGCAAAACAAGATCATTTTAATACTAATTAATAATATTGTTGCAGTGCAATAAGGCAAACGTTTTTAGCCAAGTCTCTGAGTTAAGGTTGACTATTTTTTTGTTAAATGGCATAAACATTATCATTTCAGTTTTACATTGAAGGAGGGTCAGAAAACAAACGTTAGACATTCAAAAGTAACAACACACCAAACCAAGTGACTTCCAGTCATCATTAAAATACCCGACTAAAGCTCAAACAAATGTTTTATGACAGATCAGAACCTGAATAAGCAGTCTAATCAAGGACAGCTGATATCTAAATGTCAGCACACGTAAATCTACATGCTAATACACACTGTATAGGCAATGCTGATGTTGTTAACATTAATCATTTGAGAATAAAGTATAACAATAATAATAATTTGCATGGTTTGATGTGATATGAGGTAACCGATCTTTAGATTAAATCACCATTGGTAGCGCAATTTATTGTAATCATTTTTTGGACAGAACAAACGTGGCAGACTTGTTACTTACTTGTTCAGATGACAATATAAGGTGAAAATTCTTATTTGGGTCATATATTCCAAGATGTAGGCTAGAATCTGTGATTGCGAAGAACAGTAAATACCCACACCGGTGCGGTGACTGACTGCCACACATACTCCTCAAAACATTAGATTCATCCGCGCTGGAGCCATGCACAGGAAGATAATTCCGCAAACAGCTGTGATTGCAGGTTTTCAAACAGTGATGGTGACAAAGTGGCAAAACTTATGGACTGCAGCTTTAAACATAAAATACAGTTCTATATACATACAGTGGGGCAAAAAAGTATTTAGTCAGCCACCAA